CTAGGACAACCTTGCACACCTTGACTCGCACTACCTGGATCCATTCCTACTTACGCACAGCAAGCAGGCAGCTCCGCTACCATGCAGAAGGTACCGCAACCTTCGAAACCCTTGGGTCAGCGTCCAGGACGTCGTCCTTAACTCACTAGAACCGTCCACGCTACCAAGTCAACCACTCCCAGAGCTCAGCCACTTTTACACACAAGCACAGAAACAAGATGTCTGCTCATGTCGCTATGGTTCTTGTTGGTGTGTCACGCCTTGACACAAAATGATGCGGAGTCGCCAGTCAGCATCTTTCTGCTAACTTTCACAAAAGCGATCAAAAACACATGTCCTCACAAAAAGTCTTTACATCAAGACATGGTTTGTTTGTTTAAATAAGTTTGAGTGTTTGAAAAACGTTGAAACATTTCAAGCACCTAAACGTGGTTCATGATGTCTCCCTCAGATCTGTTAGCAACTCCAGTTCTGAATGCCTTTCAGAACGTTGCTCTCGCTATCATCATTGAGAGACAAAACAACTAAACTTCTCCGATCAATGTCAAACAAAGTTCCTTCTTCCGAAGTCACAAAAATGAATTCTACGATCTTCTCACGATTCCTTCGTGCACTTCGTCGACGACAACTAATGCAAAAGGTATGGAAAATGGTTTGATTTTCCATGTCACTATACAAATTCAAATCCTCACGATGTTCTCCGTGCAATCAAAGTACTCAAAGAAGACGAAAAGTATATCGTTGTTGGTTTTCGTCATCTCCAATAAAACGTGCAAAACATGAAACGTGCAAATACGATGTCAACCATCACGGTTGAGCTCATCATCACGATGAAAACCAAATTCACTTCTTCCAATGTAGAAAATACCAAATGGATTCATCTCACCACAGATGTCAAATTTTCACAAGAGAGGTCCCCCGATGACAGCAAGAAGTTTTCCCAGGCTTGAGAATTGGGGTCTGGAACTGGTGGTAAACTACCTCCCAATTGTCTATTTCAATTCTCAGGATGCAGCGGATTTGCGGCTGATTTTTCACTGGCTAACACAGGCGGGTGGAGGCTGGGCAGATCTAGCCGCCGGAAGCGATCCTTACCTGGCCACTGGGAGTGGAAAAATAACTGGTAAGGTGAGACCCTCCAGGAAAAATGGGGTATACATGGTATACCTATGATTTCATTCACAAGTTTCCACAGGAAACTCCATGTTCCAGGGTTGTGTAGATCTTGATTTCGACCTTCAGTGATATCCAAAGGAACGACTTCAATTCCATTTTTTTTTCTCTGTTGCGGCCGATCTCGCTCCAAGACTCGGTCCTGACAGTGAGAGAAGCGGTAAAAAAGTGTACAAAATATATGAAACACTTTGGCTTCATAAACGAGACACATCACGGAAAACCTAAACAACGAGAAAAAACACGGCAACAGCGACGACCCGCAAATCTCCCGGCCAGATCAATGACTTCAATTCCATTGATGGGATTCCCTATACTACGCTATCACCTCTTGCCTCAACAGATCTTTTTCACCCATAACTGGAACCTGTCACGTCACTGCTTTGTGGTTGTGTGGTTGTTTGTCTTTTGTGTGGTTTGGTTTTGTTTGTGTTTGTTTTTGGTGTTGTTTTTGCTTTTGGTTCTTTGTGTTTCGGTTCTTGTTCTCTGGTAACGTGACAAGGGAATAGGACTATGTATCGGTCCTCTACCAGTTTACTTTTGCGGCCACTGCAGCTTCGGCCCCTGCGTGAATTAATTAACCAATCTCAAATGCAACATGCTTGGAAACATGTTGAACGACCTGGCGGAAGCCATACGGCGTTGGACGGAAAAAAATCCATTGATGGGATTCCTTCGCCATTCCTTCGCCTGTTCCCCAGCAAAGAGGCGGACTATAACCCCTTTTGAGGTGAGCAGCCTCCTTCTTGTGCCGGTGCCATGGAAAATCATGGTTCATTTGTGGATCTTCTTCATCTTGACCCTTCATGTAATTCCAGATTCTTTCCGGTGTTTCTGGAAATCGTGATCCCCACCACTTCTTAGTCTTCTCCGTGGGCTCTTCCAATGTGAGCCGATGGTTGGTCCTCTTTTCCATCTCCATGTGCTCAATCTCAGTGATCAGAGCCAGAGCGTGGTCCTTTCGAACCACAGGACATCCAGACCTTAACCCACATTCTGTGTTTTCCAGTTGTGGATGCTTCAACACATCCTGCACGGGACCAAGTGATGGTGTATCCCAATTCCACCAAACCTCGAAGAGGCACAATTGGTTCCACCGGTCCCTCCGACAAGAGGGTTCCATTCACAGGGTTCTAATAGAGCTGAGTAGCTCCATGGGCGAGCTCCACGGACTGCACCGCGTTCTTGATCTCCTCGATTGATCCCTGTCTCAAGGGGTGTGTCGCCCCACCATCCAACAAACCTGTTCCATCATCAAATTCAAATTCGAGATGATCCCCACCATGCCTCACCGATTTCAAGACCGGTCCATTGAGACCCTTCAAAAGGTTGGTCACTTCTCCTGTCCTTATCGGTCTTCTCTGGTATAGAGGTGATAGTGACCGTGGATTCACCCATCGGGTTGATCTCCACGACAGATTCCAGACGTTCTTGAGCAGCACCTCCTTCTTTTCATTCTTTTTTTCCGTCTAACGCCAGATGGCTCTCGCCAGGTCGTTTATCAAGCCGGAAAGACAATTGCATTTTGCAAATTCACCGAATTAATGCAGTGGCAACATCAGTCATGACGACAATGTGCATACAAAAGAGAAGTGAATAGGATCGATACATAATCCATTGAGCAAGCACCTCCTTGTTTTCATTCAGTTCTCTTTTGTATGCACATTGTCGTCATTAACTGATGTTGCCACTGCATTAATTCGGTGAATTTGCAAAATGCAATTGTCTTTCCGGCTTGATAAACGACCTGGCGAGAGTTGGACGGAAAAAAAGCAGCACCTCCTTCTTTTCCAGGATCATCCTTCCCCTTTTGAGATCTTGAGCGGATTCTAGTGGTTTTGACCACCCTTGGTCTTCAGATCCACCTTGTGCACCTCGTAACTCAGTTCGTTTTCCCGCCGGACAATCACGTCGGGAGTGTCCTTTTCCAGAACAGTTGAAACATCGGCCATCTTTGGAGTCCAAAACGGTGTGCATAAACAGGCATCGTTCTGACGTACGCCACCTTGTGGACCACATTCGCAGCGTTAATCGACAGCTCAGGCTTCTCCCCCCTCCTTCCAGTGGAAGAACTTGCGGCGTCTTCTGGTTTTCCCTTCGAAGTGGATTTCCAGATGAATCCGGTCCACTCATAGACTTCACCCACATTGCATTCGTTGGACCCGGTGTTATGTTCTCCAGTTGACGGAGAGCCATCTTACCAGCTTCCGCTTGAAGTAGATGCGATCACCGTTGCTGCTATCCGTGCATTTGGCACCTGTCTGTGGCCACTGCAAGCCGTAAGAAATGTGTTGGTTTGACGGTGATTCAACTCCTTTGAAATCGAACGAGAGAGACTTCCTAACCTCACGCAAGAGGAGCGGAAATTCTTGCTTGCAGTGTTTCTTGTTGTTGAGGAGTTTGTGGGTTTTCGCCAGTGGCCGGCTTCCAGTCGGCACATTGGACTGGGGAACGGAGACAACAATGTACGACCACATGCTGTCATTTCCATTTCGGGGGCCGGAAAGTGAAAATCAGGCTTTGCATGTGCGGACCTCCTCTGTTCCAACTCTATTTGCTGGTTGCTTGAATAGACACAGTTGCAATTTTTTGTTGTTGCACGGGTCGGCCTTTGTTGTGGATTTTTGCGATTTTGCGGTCTCATTTTAGTACCGCCAGACGGTCCCAAAATGGGACAGTGAAAAATACTTTTAGGACGCCAGGCGGTCCCATTTTTCGCACCGTGTTCAAGTTGATTTTTAATTTTTTTGTACTGGGGTTGCAGAAGCGCAATTTTGGTTTCAATGAGACTTTGTGGCTTATGGCGACCGGACGGGCAACTAGGGAGGCCCTTTTGAGCGAAGCCGGTTTTGAGAAGGTTTTCCGGACCCAGAATTGGGTCCGTTAGAGCAAGCAGTTTTGTAGATGATTTTGTTTCTTGTTGGGGCAAGCGGGGTGCATATCGGTTGCTGCTTGAACCCACTTGAAGTTAGCTTCTTATTATTTCGTTGCGTCTGGTGGCTTGATTGTTTGCTGCTAAAAGAAGGCCCATCAGCCTTTTGCAGCCCTTAGGTGATTGCTTGAAGTGTTTCTTGCTGTTGAGGAGTTTGTGGGTTTTCGCGCAGGTGGCCGGCTTCCATTTGAGAATGATTGTATTGAATACTTTACTGCCCCTTGTTGGCCCCCCTTGCCCCTCTAGACTCCTACCGAAGTTTTCAGCTCAGAAAGAACATGAATCACGATCTTTTCAGTCAATCCCGTTATCAATTAGTCTAAATTTAAAACGGGATGGGGTAGGAATCTGCTTGGGAAATGTGGCAAGGTGACGTATTGAAGGCTTTCTTTCTCCGCCATCGATTCGATATCCTGTCAATTACATTGGGTAATTGAATTAAAACATAGCACGGAGTAGCGGAGTAGCGCGGAGTAGCGAAGGATTGGTGAATGTTGCCTGGGTGGTGCTGCATCGCAAATCGCCACATTGGAGCTAGGGAACGGAGACAGCTGATACCGCATGTGCGCTTTCAGGTTCCATTTCTGGGGCCGGAAAGTCAAGTGAAATCAGGCTTCGCATGTGCGGGCCTCCTCTGTATTGCTCCGACTACATTCAGTACGTGCCTCACTTGGCTGGCAAACTGTAGGCTGCTCCAAGGTGACCAAAAGTCATGGTTGAGTGTTGTGGACTTGTAGCCAGGTGTGGGTGGATGATCAAAATGACAATGTTCCTGTTCGTGACAACGGGCTCCACCCTACAAAATAAACGGGTCACTCAAACACCTCCGGGCATCAATCACACAGCCGTTTTTCACTAGGCGATTGATGCATTGATACAGCGAATGTTTTCTTTGATGACAAAAGAACCAGTGAAAGGCTTCAGAGCCGTGTCCTTGCAGCAGGTCATGAATGCAGACCGTGAGATGTGGATGCAAGCAGCTCAGAACTCCAGAGGAAAGACCTTGACTGACCCTACACGGCCATTAGATGAGATCCTGGAGAAAGCCTTCAACGCGCCGGAGACAAGCTACCATCTCCTTCCTTTGCCGGTCTCTTCCACAGGCAATGGGAAAACTGAGTCGAAGACAGAGCCCGAGGAAATTCCTCCGAAGCGCCCCTTTTCTGGTGCTAAGGGAGGCACCCCGGCCAAGAAGGGCAAAGGAAAAGGCATCGATTTGCCACAGGGTTGCTCCCCAGAGACTGGTTCGGGACAAAGGATTTGCTTTCAGTTCAATCGGGAGCCGGTGCAGCCCTCTTTGACATGCAGCAAGATGGACTTGCACTGATCCAATGGAGAGCTCAAACCCTACCGTCCTGACCGGACAACATTCATGCTGAGGTAGTGTCTGCCAAGCTGGCTACAGAACTAGTTGCTGAAGAGATGCAACGCAGACACTACTCCGTCTCACAAGCTTTCCTCCAAGGTGACATTCTACCTCTTGTCAAGCATCTTGCCTTTGCTGGTCGTTTCCGACGCCCTGACTTGCAGCACACATCGTGCATGATATTGGGAAAAGGCAATCACGGTACTTTGACTTTGGAAAGTGGATGTACCGTCCCCGAAAGGGCCAATGTGGTGTCAGATTACCTTGCAGGAGTCGCTAGTAGAAGTGCCCAGCAAGCTGTACTTGCTGATGAGGATGCGATGCCTTTCGACGTCGAAGTACCCGCACCTTACTGGCTTGCGCCAGAATCCGGAGCCATACAATCCTACACCTCCTTGAACAAGCACAACCTACGCTTGCAGAAGTTGGCCAGTTCCTTGCACATCCTGATCATGCCAAAGACGAACAGCCAACAATTGCATACCTGAGCACCACGGCAGGACTCAGAAACCCGAAACTCGTTCAATACACTGCCTCCGCGATTGATGATGTCACTCTTTTGAAAAAAGATGAAAGCCTTATTTCTCCAAACAAAAATTTGTGAAGCCTCACAAATAAGGATCAAAACGAATCATCTCCCTTTTTGGTGGTAAACAAAGTTTGTGAAGAGTTGAATCATCCAACCAAATGTGGAGACGCAAACAATTTGGCGTTCAACTTCCCATTTCAATTTTTAATTTTCCGATGTGGCATTAAACAATTCCATTGAGACAACCACATCAGTCACACGTCACATCATCAGTTGTAATGTAGTGGCCTTTTCCCAATCAAGTGGTGGGAGGGAGGGAGTCCCTTTTAAACAAGGACAATTGAAAAAATTGAGTCCCTTTTGAGCTCTGGAGGCCACGATGGGTCGGAATGTCACCTAGTGCCATTGCCCATCAGATTGAACAGGAAGCGTTTCAGAGAACGGATCGGAAAGTGTTGCACCGTATTCGCCATCACAAGGCACTCAAGGTGCGATGCAGTAATCAGTTTCATCTGGATACACTCATCGAGAAGATCAGACTCACAGGCGGCAATGACGCAATGCATCCAGAAACTGGAAGTGCGAGCAGTGATGACGATTTTTGGTAAATCACTCACCAATGAGGACCTGTGTGTACAAATTTTCAACTTTTTCTGGAATCATTTTCACAGTTGGAACACGATGCTTTGCAGCTCCTCTCCTTTTCGGACATACGGTATTTCACAGGGGATGGCTCGGGTATGTCCTTTTGCAATTTTAGTTTGGGTATTATGGCCATTTGCAAATTTTCTTATTGCTCACTGGTTGGAAATTGATCCAAGTGCAAGCGAACAATTTTGGTTGCACGATACATCTGGACCAAATGCGGAACGATTTATATTGATTTCTGGGCGTTGACCTAATTTTGCATGGCAACTGGCTCGTCATTGGCCATTCATCGTTCGTTGGAGGCAAATTTTCAGCAGTATTTCTGTTGGGTCGTGGACTTCATGTTTCAGCAGGTGGTTTTGCAAGTCCGTCGAGAGCTTCAGCGTTCAAGTGCGGTTCGAGCCCTGCATGATTGGTTCTGTGCTTTTGGGAACTGTCACATTGTCCCCAAGTTGCAGACCGGGAGTAATTTTTCTCAGTGGAGCCAAACGTCGAATCATCCTGGCATCAATGGCAGCTTTTGTCAGCCAACCGACTCCGGGAATATCGCAGTTTGGGGTCTCTACAGGACTGTCCGCGAGTGGGGGACAATCCACTGGGTAGCCATTTTGAGGTCCTGGTTCGATTTTCACTCGACGTGCAGTCAGTTTGTGCGTCCAAATTCAGGGAGTTTTTTGGCCCGGTTGCGACTCTGATGTGGAATCTTCCTGCCAATGCTGGGTCACTTCGCAGGTACCTTTTTCCCCTTTTCATTTACGCATGACAGTGCTGTGGACAAAGTTATCTACCTGGACTGTGGTTGTCGCCATCGTTACACTTTCACACAACGACTGGTCGGACAGCGTTCCAGCTTGCAACGCTGGGCAATTTTGTGTGTGCTTCATGGGCTTACAGCTAGCAGACGGAGCAAACCCGAGACCGGATTATCTCGGCAGTACAGACGAATGCCTTTGGCCTGGAGGAGACCCGTCTGCAAACAACAGCACTTCGATGTCGTGGCTGTTGCCAGTTCTTTGCTCAGCAATCAGTTTATTTAAATTGCCACTTGGGTACTCCGAAAGTGGTGGAATTTTTTGCCACCAGCAACTACCATGGAGGAAGTTGATTATGCCACACTTGGGGCAGCACTCGATCGTATCAACAGTGAGAGCAACAGTTTGAGACGGGAAGTGAGCTCCTTGAATGGTGGACTCTCGGAAGTATTCTCCGTCGTTAGAAGGCTCAGGGAGGACCTCGATGGCATTACTGCAGATCACGACCGTCTGGTTGAGCAAGTTGGATGGCAGCACGTCGGGATGGTACGCCTTGGAGGTTTTAATCCCTATCAGAGCTTATCAATCCAGCAGAGACAGCAAGTTTTTGCCCGGGAGAGACGAAACATGATGGCCTACCGCGCGATGGGCCCGAACGGGTTTATGTCAACAGTTCTTCACCAAGACAGGTTGTTGGGCTTGCAAAGCGACTTCAATGTAGTTGGTGGGGTTGGTGCGAGGTTGGATTACCCAAGGGAGGAGGCAACTGCAGACACCCATCTTCTCATTGAATTCAATGATGTAGGGGACGGGTCATCATTGCCTCAAGACGTTCTTTGTGCGATCGCACGCAACAAACTACAAATAGAGTTGTACAACTGCCTGGTGAGGGAAGACTTTACCAGAGCGCGCCTATTTCAGCAGGCACTCCTATTCTTCATAGATGTCTCCCATCAAGATAGGCTTCTGAATCGACATGATCAGGTTCGTCTATTTACATACCTTGGGGACCACCTCGAGAGCCTGTCAGATGGGCTCCGTGGGGAAGATGAAGCTCGAGCCAACGACTATCTAGCCTTAGCTGGCAGGTTTCGTAGAGTGGCCTCATCGCACTGAACCTAAAGGTCATGGAGGACGCGGTCAAAGCACACTGTGATCCTGTTGAACGACAATACATCGACCGGAGTGAACAACTGAGGATGCCCGGTTTTGTCGTGATGCAGAGTTGGATTGAAATTTAGTGTTAGAGTCTAAGGACGTAAATCTAGGTTGTATAGGTCGAGAGTTGGATACCAGGTCACAGAGGCCTATTCTCTATTTGACATATCATACACCTCATGACTTACAGTGATGTCAAGCAGGCTGGACGAAACTAAGTTGTCATGAGGTACTCAGTAGGCCCCTTATTTAAAAGGGACAGATACTTTCATGAATGTCCGGTCACGAAATACTACTTCAGTTCCATGTTGAACCAAGTTCCGGACAAGCATGCAGTCGGGAATTTGGTGTTCAGTTTTCATTCAGGTTCAAGTTCCGACAATCATGAAGTCAGGAAGTGGACATTCGATTTTCTTTTAAAAAATCAATCTTCTGGCAATCATGCAGTCAGGACTTGGATGTTCTGAAGTGGCAACAACCGCATAGTTCTCAGTCAGGCTGACGTCTCCGACAATCATGCTGTCAGGAACCTGGAAGCCCATTTTCTTTTCATGTCACAGCTTCTGACCATCATGCAGTCAGGAATTAATATGTGGGTTTTGCAAAACCCCATAATTTCGGGTTTTCTGGGACCCGCGGCGCTTGTTTGCCATGAGTCGTAGGTTTACAGGGAGGCCGCCACCTTTATCGACTCATCCAAGCGGCAAGTATTGGGGTAAGCCTCCAGCTTTGACGCCACCTGGGCACAAAGGCAAAGGAAAGGGCGGCCGCACTGTCTTTTCCGAACCAGAGGAGTCCATTTGTGACACGATCGACCACAGCAACTTGCGGGGAATTTTGAGAGACCTTTGCTACTGGCAGAGCCACGTCACGACAGTGGAAGAGCTTGCGGGCAAGGTGACGTCTGCCGATTGGTACCCTTTGCTACTGGGCAAACTTGCTGAGTCGGTCGTCGTAATATCTGGTGCTCCCAATGTTGGCAAATCCAGCCTAGCAGTCCACCTGGCCAAGACCCTGGGTTTGATGCGTACAAAGACTACGAGCAAAAATTTCTGGCTGTTTGCTCGAAGCGAGAGGCCGTATTTTCCCACTGGGTGTATTGCACAGATTCGTTCTGGAGTGAAGATGAGCCATCGTGGCCTCGGATGCGACAGTCTGTATCATCTATTACCTCAAGCGAAGAATTCGGCACAGGAGCAGTCATTCTCGAGGGTCACAGAATTTTTGCTTTTCCAGGTTATGCCGACTTGGCCACCACTATTGTTTACCTGGCGGCTACGGACAAACTTTTGTTTGAGCGAGGAACAGAAGCAGGGTCAATCCGGAAGCACAAGCTTTTCTTGTCGAATGTACTGGACCAGCTTCAAAAGCTCAACAAGATGATCATTCTGGAATGCGAAAAATCGCAGGTCTATTTGGTGTGCCAGGCCTTACAAATCGCCCTCCTAGAGGACGCAGGTATGGACGCATCACATCTGTCGGCGGACATCGAACTCGACGGGAGGTGGACATTTTAAACTTCCTTATGCTCATCCACAGACTGGGCAATTTATGGTCGACTCAGGAAGTTTTGTTTGTGCTTAACCGTGAGACAACAATTCATGGTACAATTTCCAGGTTTCACAATTCACTGGCCAGCTTTGGCTTTCCTTCATATATTTTCGGGCCGTGACAACGCAGTGTATCACTCAGGCAGGTACAAACCTCAAAGCAGGACAATCATGTGGTCCAGAGAAAGTTTGCCTTCAACCGTCAATTTGTTCGGGGGTCAGTCGGGACGCCTGCAGGCAATTCAAGCATTTCAGGCAACCATGGGATCCAGTGTCGGGCGCCATTACTTTGGATCTTAGATCCTGAAAGCGTCCCAAGCATTTCAGAAACCGTTGAATTCATTGTCTAGCGCCTTTAATTTTGGATCTTGGACCCTCGAGGGCTTCTCAATGTGAACTTTGTTCTCAATGTGAAATTTTGTGCTATTCAAATCATCCGTTTGGATAGTTTGGATGTTAAACAATGGACCCGATCGTTTTTCATTGGGTCAAATCCTTGAAGTGAAATTTACTTCTAACTAAAGGAACGGAGAGCATGTTTGCAAAGGTAGGTTTGCAACTTGCAAGGACACTTGGTCCTTTGGAACCCCATGGAATGAGGAGATTAGTTTCTGCCGCAGAAGTTCCATGTTTTGTTGCCTAGTTTTGTATTCAACCGTTTTTTTTGATTGACAGACGACACGAGTGTCACACCATAACTCAGGTATACCCTGAAATCCGGAATGACCCTGTTGTGATGTATTGTCACATTAACACCCAGTTTCTTTTCTACTAAAATGTGGGCTCGCAGCTCTAGGCATTGTGAATGTCCGGACCAAGCTCGAGGAAGTCGTTTCACCATGCTGACGCCC